TTCTTTTTTCTTTGAAGGATAAAGTTAAACAGTGGCTAAATTCTTTGAAAGATCAATCAATTCCAAGTTGGCAAGTTTTGCAAATTGATTTTTTCAAGAAATTTTTACTTGTACATTGCACTAGTGCATTGAGACGTCAAATCTTGAGTTTTTCGTGTCAAAGAGGGAGAAACTTTTTATCAATGTTGGGAGAGATTTAAGGATCTTCTCCAAGCTTGCCCACATCATGTATTTGGGTGTTGAACCTTAGTTGGTTTTTTTTTATAATGTTCTTCCTTCTACAATACTAAAGAGTATAAATAGACTACTCACACTTCATTACTATAAACGACCAAGAAGGGTGAGATAATCTTATTTCAACGTAACACAAATACAAAAACAACAAACGCAATAAATCATTCCCCAATGAATAGTTGAAACACCCTTACTCTTGTTACTGACTAGGGCACAAAAGTAAGAGAGGTTTAACCCTCCAAGTATAAAGGATGTAAAAGAAATGTAGAATAAGAGAAATTATGTCTTAGGAATGTTTAGGACAAAGTTTCTTCTTCTCTGGCTCTGGCTTTCTTCTCTAGCGAAGTCTCTCTCAAAAATGGTTGGACTCTACTATTTATAGGCATCAAGAAGGGGTTTAGAGGTGGAAAACACCCATGGCAGCCAATTAGACTCTTTTGTTGCACTTTTGGACCAATAGGAGGAGAGGAAGACTTAAGGCGGTTTAGCCAACGTCCAGACACCACCATCACCATCAGGACAGTGCAAAGTCTCTGGTTTTGTGGGTGGAGCCTCCTATGCTGACTTGTTGACTCTTGTTGGCATTGGGATGGTGTTTCACCGTCTGGTGAGAAATTTACTGATTTTATCCTTTCCTCCTTCTTTTGTCTACCTTTTGCACTTTTATCCTTCCAAGTTTCAATAATTTCATGCAAATCCCTACAAGATATATAAATTAAACATTAGCCATAATACTCTATTTAAATAAATCATTTTGATTCTATTAACACATTATTAACCCTAACCCTAATTCAATTCTGCATTTTTTAGGGTTAATCAGTAATCTTAGCAAGTGCCTTCAACCGTTAAGTATAGGGGGCTGCGATAGGACAATCATTCATAGTCAAATCAATAACCTTGGGCTTTTTTAAGTCATTCACCCTCTCTAGAGTTACCCTTGGTCTCTTTTTTATTTTTCAATGTGGCTTTGGTGAGACCTTAGGTAAAATAATTTTGTCAATTTCCTTTCCACTCCTAAGAGTGGTGATAGCCTTGAGTTGCTTAAAATTATCTTTAGTGGCATTAGATGACTTGATCACATGTTGACCCTTGGGTTTCTTTTGTGGTTGTGCGGGAAATTTCCCTTTTATTGTTGAAATGACCCCATATCATTAGTCAACTTGGTAATATGTGTCCAGATGTCATTAAAAGCTGCTGCATTTTGGTTATTGGTTGCACTTTGACTTTGGATGAATTGATGCATGATGTCCTCCAAAATCCTCTTGTGAGGAGGTTGATATGTGGTTGGATTGGGTTGTCTTTGTTAACTAAATCTTTGTTGAGGCTAGTTTTGAGAAAACCATTATGGATTGAAACTTTGATATTAAGAGCTAGACAACAAACCATGACCATAAAAAGGTTGGTTTTGCTTTGCTGGGATGGGAGGTGGCAATGAGGTGGATCCATGAGGTGTAGGATTGTCATTCTCCCAACTAAAGTTTGGGTGGGAGCTCCATCCCGGATTGTACGTGTTAGAGTTTGGAGAATATGACTACCTATTTTGATTAAATGCATGCACTTGCTCATGATACACTTCCTTAAGTTTTAGAATGTTTGGAAACTCCAAAATAGAGTGCTCCACACTCTTACAAATCAAGCAAAATTCCTCAAACGTAGTCACATTTGACACTTTATGCCTCCTATTGACCTCTAAAATTTCCACCTTGTGGGGACAACTTTGTAATTTTAGCAAGCAAACTTCTTAGTCACGCAAGTTATATAACCCACCCACACTTGGGGGAGTGCCCGTAGAGCACCTTGGTAAATCTGTATGATCAGTGATATCCCAAAATTGGGCATTCTCTACCAAAGTATAAAAGTACTCTAGGGCTTCATTGGGGGTCCTTGTTCAAGAATTCTCCATTGCACATTATGTCAATGAACTGTCGATGCCCTAACGTAATTTCTTCATAGAAGAAACTAACCAGTTGTCATGGTTCAAATTTGTGATGTGGAATGGAGTGCAATAAATCCTTATATCTTTCCTAACACTGATAAAACTACTTATTTGGTTTCTTAGAAAAGTTTTTAATTTATTTTTTCAAAGTAGTGGTCTTGGGCACTAGAAAAAAACTTGTTTAAAAATTCAGATAACATTTGAGCCCAAGAACTAATTGAGCTTGATTTCAAGAAGTTCAACCAAGTTTTTGCTTTATCTTTGAGAGAAAAGGGAAATAATTTCGTGTGTGCCATGTCTTCTATTGCATGATTTGAAATGAATGGTCCAACTATTTCCTTAAATTCCTTAATATGTAGGTAAGGATTTTCTCATTCCACGTCTTGGAATTAAGGAAGTAGTTGTAACATGTCTGGTTTGACAAGAAAACTATGGGCTTGCAAAGGTAAGAATATGCATGATGGGGTGGTGCTTCTTGTGGGTTGGAGATAATCTCTCATTGATCTTGCCGGGGGGTGAGTAGGGAGATTATTTCCTTCATTTCTTGGAGGGGAGAATTGCATTCAGTGGTTTTGTGCTCCCCCACTCCTTGGATTGTTAACAAGTAATAAAGCTGTTAAATGTGCAATATTCTGCACTCATTAGAAATGTATCTAGAGGCTCAAGAGGCTTAACCTACACATGGGAAAGACTCTCCCTATTTATAGGTCTAGAATAAGATTACTCTAAGTAAGTAAGAAAGCTTAGATTTACAAAAGGCCGCTTGACCGGTGGGAGGGAAGTCATAGAGTGGTTGTCGTTGGAATAAAAACAATGTTTCAAACACGACTAAGGCAGACATCACTCGAACGACAATAGGCATTGCTCGAGCGACCATGAGACTTCTCAAGCAAGCTAATATAGCGAGCCCTTTGCTGTCTTCCGCAGTCTTCTCCTATTTCCTTCCCTAAGTCATAAAAAGACCGCTCTAATGAAGGCTAGCAAGTATAGATCAATCTCTATAGGTTTTTAAGCATAAAATCATGCAAAAACTTGTCCTCCTAATAAACTAAACGGTATTGCTCAAAGAGGGATCAAATTGTGACTCAAACTATTTTTTTAAAACTCATAACTAGTTTAGAAAAATTTTCTTTTAAAATCAGCTAGGGGTTATAATCATTCTAAGCTAAAATAACCAAGGGTTTATCTTAAATATCTAGGTCATTATCTTTTATTCTAAGCATGAAGGTGCACATGGAGGATGAATGATTTAGCTTTGACATTTCATCTCCTCCATTCAATGACATTTTTGAAACTTGAATTTGATAGCATCATGACCATAGAATAAATTAAGATTTTACAATGAACTTCTTGAAATTAGTCAATTACGAATATGATTTAACAAGAAATAGCTAAAAAAAAGCCCTAAACACATGTACCTGTGGTATTTATACGTTCAAAAACTGTATAGGCAACACAAATTTGATCGGGCAAAAATGCATGTTTGCATTCGAATTGAGTGTTTTCGATTCGAACGAAGTGGCTTATGTTCGAATGGAGTGGCTTGCGTTTGAACGGGTTTATTTACGTTTAAACGGACTTTGCTCCCAATATCTCCCATTTTTATGAGAAGGTTTTTTAGGTTTCACTTGTGTTTGAACATAGCCTTTCCCGTGGAAATGGACTCCATTTTTTTTCTTTAACTTTTAAGACAATTTTGGCTTAGTTTGAGGTTGATTCACGAGTTCATGAAATATACTTTTATAACTCTTGAAGTTTACTTTTTAATTCTACAAGAATTAGGTCAATTGTATATTGAGGCAAAAATTTATAGTCAAAATACTAAGATAGTGTCAAATTTATTCCTACCCAAATTTTCTCCAAAATCTGTTTTAACCCTGGAACACCTCCAAACTTTTAATGCACCCTATATCACTTATAGCACGGTTTTTTGACCTCCCAAATTTAATGGTAATGGTATTTTGAACTAAAAATATTTAAAAACTCATCTATATATTTTTTTCATTCTTAAACGTCCTTGAAACTAAATTTTATAAGAGTGTTAATTCATGCGAAATTCAAATTGTATGACCAATCTTACAATAATGATTCAAAGTTTCTTTTAATATTTTAGTTATTTTTAAAGAACTCTTAAAAATAAATTACCCATATTTATTTGTAATACGAGGTCTCACATATATTATATGCATACACACAAATTCGAAAATAAAATATAAAAATTTAAATTTCATGCACAATTATGTGACAAACTATCTAATTTTTAAATATATATTAGTTATAAGGTCCTCAAATGATAACTATAGTTTACAAAAATATCATTCTAGTTCTATATGTATTTTTATACATGGGCAAGTATATTTCAAATAAAAATTTGAATAATAATGAGTAAGCATATAAATAAATAAGAGTGCGCATTAGTCAAATTCACATTGAATCCGAAAATTTTGTAAAATGAGAGCAAAGTCACAAAGAGTTTATGTTTGGAGCGAATTTGTAATTCGGAGTTGCGGATTGTGAAGTAGGGATGAGGCGGGCTAGATGGGGAAAAATTGGGGTGGAAAAATGTTTCAGGTCGGGTTGTAATTTGGGATATGATATTTGGGTTTAGGTTAGGTTATATTAGGTTTGTTTATTTAATTTTTATTAAAGGGTAAAATAATCATTCGAAGTTTCAGTTGGGTATGTTAGCTGCCTGTTATAGGGGGTCTCAGTATAATTTATCAAACATGAATGGATACATCCGTCCAATTGACAAACATTAGAAGTTCTTGATGTAATTTCTCCATGCATTTAATTTTTCTCAAGGGTGGGTCGACGGCGACAAAGCCAAGCAGAGGAGTAAACGTGACATCACCGAAATCAATGGCGAGCAATCTCCCTGCCCCGCGCACCACCGCCTCCCCTGCCCACCTCTTCGCCGCCGTGGACATGGGTACCAACTCCTTCAAGCTCCTCATCGTCCGCGCCGATCCCTCCACCGGTCGCTTCCTTACCCTTGACCGCCTCAAAGAGCCCGTCCTCCTCGGCCGCGACACCCCCTCAGCCACCATTTCCTCCGCCTCCCAACTTCGAGCCATCGACACCCTCTGTAAATTCCAACGCGTCCTTCAATCACACCATATCCCTCCCTCCCACTCACACTTCGTCGCCACTTCTGCTGTACGCGAAGCCTCAAACCAGTTGGAATTTATCGGTGCGATCCATCAAACCCTAGGGTTTGAAATTGATGTATTGTCGGGTTTGGAGGAAGCCCGTTTGATATATATGGGAGTTCTTCAATTTCATCCAGTTTACAGCAAAACAGTTCTTACTATTGATATTGGAGGTGGGTCAACTGAATTTGTTATTGGAAAAGAAGGCAAGGTGTTGTTTGGAAGTTCCGTGAAATTGGGGCATGTGACTCTCACCCAGAATTTTGTAAATAACAATGGGTTTGAAAAAATGCGAGAGCACATCCAATGTGTAATTCAAGCATCTGGACTGATTGAGAAGGTTAAGGAGTATGGTATTGAAGTAGTTATTGGTTCATCGGGTACTGTTCGGGCTCTTGAGAAGGCAATTTTCTTTGGGTATGCTCGTGATTTGGGGGATAATGTGGGGGATTGTGAGACTTACAGGAGGGAATGGAAATTTAGTAGTGCAGAATTGGGGATATTAGTGGAGAAGTTGTGTGGTGAAGAGGGTGTAGCGGGTGGGAGGGTCAGGAGAGAAAGGTTCTTTAAGAGGAGGTCTGAATTTATTGTGGCGGGTGCAGTGCTGTTGAAGGAGATATTTGGGATGCTTGGGATTGAGGAAATGGAGGTTTCTGGGTGTGCACTGGGAGAGGGAGTCATCTCTGAGAAATTGGCTGAGTTTTATGGTGGGCATGATTTGAACACAAATGCCCGATGGAGGTCTGTGGTGCGGCTTGCCACTAGGTTTAATGACAAGATAAGGATGAAATCTGCATTAGTATGTGCCGGCATTGCGAAGGTATCAGTGACTTGAACTTGTAAATATTTGTTGATGTTGCATTTTTCCAAATGACTGCATGTATAAATAAAGAACAAATGGATTATATGTAGGCTTACTAAGTTGTTTATGCAGGAAATTTTTGAAGGCTTAAGGAAATGGAATGAAGTTGCCAATGACCAATGTAAATTTGTTGTAACCATGGATGAGAAAGATCTTGAATATCTTGAAGCTGCTTGTTTGCTGCACAATATTGGGTTGTTTACTGGCAAAAAGGGTTACCAAAAGCAGTCTTACTGTATTATAATGGTTTGTGCTCCTTGCCGAATGTCCTCAGTCTATGCACTTTGTCTAATATGGTGACAAGTATTAGTGTGAATATTTCAAGAGTCCAGTGGCACTTGGTGAATTATATAAGAAATTGTAGATCACTTAGTTCTTGTATAATTTCAAATAGAAGCACTGTCTTGGACGCCTATATTATATCAATCGATAAGTACCATACGATAAGATCAGTCATAGATTGAGTTTCTCATGTAGGTGATGATACTAAGCTAAAGATAAAGTACCTTATCAAAAGAGAAGAATCTTACTCATCATAAATCAAAATACATTCCTGTATTAAAGATAATAACTCCCAATTTCGTTTCTATTAATTTGAGGTATCTTCTTCCTGGTGTAAGATTATTTTGCTTGTTTGAATGACTCCATGGATATGCTTGGAAATTGTTGGATGGCTAAAACCTAAAAAGTTTTCTAGTGTCACGCATTGCATGCAGAATATTTATTCAATATTTGATTTTTCATATTAATGAGGACATTGATCTTATTCGACAGAATGGAGATCATCTTCATGGTTATGGTGATAAAGAAGTTAAGGTACATTATTACCTTTTTTATTGTTTATTTCTTTTTTATTGGTGATGGAATTTGCAATATGGTCTTAATGATAACGACGTTTTAGTTAGTGTTCAGTTAATAGCACTACTTGCACGACATCACAGAAAGAAATTCCCAAAATTTCATAAAGCTTCTCTTGACGGATTTACAGAAGAGGTACTTTCTGTGTATTTGGAAGAGATTAATTTTTACTGCAGTGATATAGACTATGAATCTTGTTTTTGATATTTAAGTACAATTATTTGCCTTCATTTCAATGTCAGACAAAGCAGAAATTCAGAGTCCTCTGTGCAATTATACGTGTATCAGTGGTCTTACAACAGTTGAACATTCCCAATGTTGAATTTTTACATTCTCGTGAAGGTTTTCAATTGGTAAGATTAATCTAGACACTTATGGCAACTCAATCAAACTTTTTTGTTCTCCCTGTATGATTTAAATGTCATCTATAATGCAATATGTACTAGAATTTGAGCTACTATGGACTTGCTCTTTTAGGAAGAACATTCAAATGGGTTATGTTCAATCTGGACATTAATAGCAACTCAATCAAACTTTTTTGTTCACCCTGAATGATTTGAATGTCATCCATCATGTAAACCTCATATGTGCTAACACTCTTTTTGGAAGAACAAATGATGAAAATTGTTCAGTAAATTTATGGCATGCTCATTTTTAATACTTTTGGCTGTTTAGACATCGCGAGAGATTAATCAATTTTATATGCTTAATAAGATCAAAATGATTGTTTCATTGTGGCTTGCAAATAAAAAAAAAAAAAAAACTAACGCATAAACAAGCTGGGGCGGCCCAACATATATTGGGGCCCAAGGCGAAATTTGCAAATGAAGCCGCATTAATATTCTATATAACAATATATGCAATATTGCATAATTAGTTAAGGTAAAATTATTTTCTTAGTTTTTGAGATGCAAAATAAGAATTAAGTGTTTTTATTAAATTCTATTAATAGATCATTTCTTATGGGTACTAGAACTAATTATCTCAAATTTTCTTGTAACATAACTGATGATTCATAAGATGTTTTCAATTTATGTTTTTGAGAAAAAATTTTCCTATGGAAGAAATTGTTGGTATTGTTAGCGCAAGCAATATATGCATTTAGAAAACATTAGTAGTTTGATGTAGATCAATATTATAGTGGGAGTATTAATTTTTGCATGTAATTTTTTTTTAATTTCCAAAATATTAAATTGGCATATTTTAGAAAATTCTCAATTACAACAATAATTTTTAAACTATTATCATATTAATTTTTTAAAAATGTATAAAATACAAAAATAGTTGTACTTTTTAAAATTGTTTAAAGCTGTGTTATTTAGACATAAAGTGAATTGAAGCGAACCAGTCTCCTGAGGCCTAGACGAGAAGCGAGAGGTGAAGCGAACACTTTATTGAAGGGAGCAAACATTATAAATATAAGAAAATATTTTAGTTTAATTATTTCTACATATTTATGTTCTAACTTCACAGATACTAAATATTTAAAGACAATCAAAATCATAAACAATTAAATTTAAATTAACACTAATAATACTTCAACTCGTAACGGCAACCATAATATAAACATTTAAATTTAAAAAAAAACCACAAATAATATCCCAAACTCTAATATTTGAAAATGTAAAACATATAATTCAAGCAACTCAGAATTTAGTCAATACTTCCACAAATCTCAAGGGCTTAGAAATCATCCTCATCACAAGTTAGTCATTTGCTTCATTATCGTTAGATTCATCTCTCTCATCTACCTCATCTAAAATTGTCTTTTCCTCATTCATGAGTGCAAGTATAGTCGACGATTTTGTAACTCTTGGTGTTACCCTAGAAAGTGGTGTTAATCTAATTCATTGACCACTTTGTCCAACTTTAGAAGCTCGAGTAACATCATTTTAAGTCAAAAAATCATCACCAAATATGAATTTATTATCTTCATCAAATTCTCCATCCATTCTCCCAAGCAATCACTAATTACTATTATCAATATCCTTTAAAGAAATTGGATCAATTGTGTCACGTGAATCATATCAATGTCTCAAAGCTGTATTATACTTAAAAAACACTAAATTATTGAGATGTGCTTGAACTATTCTATTTCTTTTTTTTGGTGTGAATCTGCAACTCTTTATTGAAAATGTATTAAAATTTAAATCTTAAAAAAAAAACATGGAATTGAAGTGATTTAAGGACAATACTCACATGCTCAAACTCCAATTCTGCTCGCAACTAGATGCACTACAAGTATGGCTAAGAATATTTTTCACGAAGCTTTGCAAATCCTTTCACGCTCATGTCACGTTGGGGTATGCAGAAGAAAAAATTGCAAAATCCGATCCAATTTAATGTAATCGATTAGTTAACATGTTGGTTAACTGTATTCTGAAACATGGAAAAAAATTATTGGCTTATCAAATTGTCTATTGAGGAGTTGCATACCCATAAGTACCCCCACCAATCAGCTCTGAATATTAATTAATTAGCAAATATCTTTAAACAATGATCATAAAATAAGCTTGTGGGATAACATAGATCGCGTGGTGCCCTTGTTGTTCTTTGTCTAATTGCCATGGGCAACTTAAAAGAGATTTTCACATTTCATGTAGATGCACAACTCTTGACCAATTCGATCTTGTATCTCAGGGTTTGGAACCAATCTTTATAAACATTTATATAGGTCATTCATAACTTCTTGATGTTTCTCAACTTCTGGATTTGAATAGAAATGCAAAGGGTGATGCAATTGAACTTCTCACCTTCAGTCAATGATTTCTAAGATGTTTTTGTACTTCTCTTCATTGTCATTAAAGGACTTTGCAATCGCTTCTTTAGCCCTGTCCATAGCTTCCTAAATGTATCCTATGGGGAGGCCTTTTCTCACCATCAACCAATCTAAGTACACGAACAAGAGGACTTGCATGCTTGTAGGAATAGACAACAATATTTCAAAATGAAGGCATTAAAATGATTTCTGATGTTCTTTTACCTCGTTGTTTCTTTGCCCATTTGTTTGTAGTCAACTCCTCTGAACATTTTTCTCAAGTTACCTTTTTATTAGTTAATTCTCGATAAAGTAAGAAGAACCATAGTAAACCTGGTTTTTGCGGGCTTAATCAACTCCATTGACTGTGTAAATAGTCACTTTAAAGTTTAAACCTACTAAAGGAATAGTATGATCTATAACATATATGAAATAAGTAATTTTAAATGATTTTTCTGTTGATAAAATTATTCCAACTGAACTAAGTTGTATTTTTCTAAGAATTCACACACACACACACACACACACAGGGGAACAAACAACAGAGGCACTTATAAATCTGTAATGCATTTACTAAGAATTCGGGGCAACACTTTAACAAAGCTACAAAGCCAATAAACATTGGTCTATTGTGGGGCCAATTATTTCATATGGGCCACTTTGTCTAGTTATACTTTTTAGTTTGGATTTCATGACGTAACTGGGCCTTTTGGGTTTAATCTAATCAAAGTCTACATATCCACCAACTAAAACTTCATTGGGGGACCTAAAATGTTGTAAAATCAGGGGGCTTTTGGCAGCCACCTTAGTGGCCTAGGATTAGGGCCAGCCCTGGACATAGGCAATTTTCAAAGAAAGGAGTAGTTGAAATCATATTTTTCCTCCAAAATTATTGAATTTTGAATAAGCATATTAAAACAGCTGAAATCTGCCGGACCTTGCGCATAATTTGTTAGAATTATGTCTGCCATAACAAAGGGAGAAGGCCCAAATTTTGTTTTCTGGTATTTCACTTAATTTTGTGGCTTTTATTCAAAAATGATAAAAAAATCTCATTTTCTAACAACAAAAACAGATTTTCCCATCATCTTATTCTTATGAAGTTTTTGTTCTAAATCTTGGGCATAATATCTTCATTTTTTATGAACATGGCCAACGGCTCGGATTGTTTCCAGTTTATTCTTCAATAATGGCTAAATGTTTGAAAAATGGTTACCCATATTTATAAAGAGAGAGAAAGGAAAAATAAAAGATTTTTTTTTCCTAGAGAAGTGGTAATAATTTGCCCTATGGCTTTAATTGGACCTTTCAAAATTTTCAGGTTAAATCATTTCTAAAATGAATAAATTACCATAGGGTGGTCATATCACATCTTGGTATCTTGTAGTATGCATTAAGTAGAAAGCAAGACTCACTTGTAAAATCAAGATGACCAGCTATGATCTATAGTTAGTACCGACGCAGATCTTGTAATGACAGCTTTGGTGTAGAAAGATAAGTCACCATGGAATCTCTTTCATGTTTGACATTGATGACTTTGGTTCAAAATCCAGTATGTGATTGTTAACTTTAGGTCTGAATGTCTTTTTAGTATATGATTATTTTTTCTGTTTCTTTCATTCTCGGAGTTTAAAATTTTTTCAGTTAATGTCAAGTCAAGCTAAAGAAACCTTGTCCTAATTATTTTGAATTGGTTAAATGAATCGGTTTCCACCCCATTGTGATCCATCTTTGAAATTTTTTTCTTGGAATAAAATAAAAAATGTAAACTTTCCAACTTTAAAGAAATTTTAAATCTGTGAACAGGATGCATTGATGGTGCAAACAGTTGGACTGTCATTTGGGTCCAGATTTTGAAAGTTCAGTTTTAGTCTCCATTGCACAGAGAGAGATGATACTCCAGCCATATTGACTTTTTTGAACTGTCTTATTGCTTTCATTGTACTCTGTTCTTTGCTTTGTACTGCATTAGAGTGGGGATAGTAACATTACTTTGTGCTTTGGTTTCTCTTTCTTGAGAATCAATGAGATTAAATCTATTTGTAACTGCTTTCTGTGATGAAGAAACTGTTTCGGATTTCTCATCCATGCAATATTTGTTGGCTAGTTATTTGGTTGCTGCCAGAGTAAAACAAGTTTACCAAAAGCTTTTTCTTGTCTTTCTATTTGTTGCCATGAGGGTGTTTACAGGTAGTCCTTGATGTCAGAGATAAGCTTCTACCACATCATATTGTTCAACCTTTAGAGACAAACATGGGAGAAGGACTAGAGAAAGAGCTGGAACACTTTAGAGTGGTAATACTTTTGCTTTGATGTTTGTGATTATGCAACAAATCGCAAGTATTTCATCTTCGTTACCATCAATATTTTTTTTCCCTCAGGTATTCCAGCAGAGGTTGTCACTTGTACTTCCTTCAAGCACTTCAGATTAATCAGAGAGATAAAGATACTTGCAAAGATACATGAAGTACATTTAATCTGTAACAGTGGTATTTATAATGTAGGTCCTGTCAGTGGTTCCCTGTGAAATTTCCTGAAAAGATATTTTTGCATAGTAGCTTGGAGCTTTCTTTCTTTGGGTAAAGGTAAAAAAC